ACCCTAATATAGGCGGTTTAGGGTTTAGGGTTTAGGGTTTAGGGTTTCGGGTTTAGGGGGCCTAAATAATTACCTATACTAATTTGTGGTTTAGGGTTTAGGGTTTATGGTTTTAGGGTTTAGGGTTAAGGGTTTAGGGTATAGTATAGAGGCCTAAATAATTATCTATACTTTTTTGGGGGCTCCAGCAAGGTTTATAAGTACATTAGTCGGGGCTATATGTATTTATAGCTATAGTTACCGTATGTATCACCTTAGTTAGTAAGTCCCAGGATCTTCTATGTAGTTCCGCATGGAAACGGCTTCAGTGTTTTAGGGTTTAGGGTGCTTAGGGTTTAATTGGGGGTTTAGGGTTTAGCGATTCGCTGGAGAGCGCTTCCGTTTTCTTGGCGTAGCAGAAGTGAAGGATGTGCGGTCTGCGCCTGCCCTTTACTGACACACGATGCATGGGCCAAAGCTGCCAGATGTAAGAATGGGGGCCTGGATCGTCAGAACCGAGTAGTTTACATGGTTTTTTTGGGGTATTTTATCAGAGTATTAAAATACGGAACCCCTAAAGAACAGTGTTGGCAACTATTCAGGCACCTCCGTTCAAAAATCCCGATCGCGAGAGACCTGATACTCTTGACCGCGGGATGCGTCGGACGCGAAATCAATTGCTGAACCTGTGAATTGGGTGCATTGTTCTTGGTTTCTGTTAACATGAAGGACAATGTTCATGAAGAGTGGCAATAATACTTGTAGTTATTACTTGTAGTAATTATCGTGCTAGTTGTAGTACCGAAATTTTGGACAAACTATAGTAATGTTAGTACTCTTGAAGACACAGCTTAGCGGTGTGAATTTCGACTTAGTGACCAGGCCTATACACACCTAAGTTGAGGTTCTAAGGGATTACACAAACTATAGTTACCTCATTTTCAGCCTTAGTCACTCAGTCCCGTAATCCTTCATTTCAGGTTCCCCAAACCCTACACCCGAAACCCTAAACCCTAACGGTTTTCTAGCGATTCCAGTCGGTGGCAGATCCCCTGCTGCAGGCTGCAGCTGCCTTTGCTACATGGGTTAGGGTCCCTTTTTAGGGTTCCTTAAAGGGATCTATAAGGCTATAAGGGATTAGGGTTTAGGGTTTAGGGTTTAGGGCTATAAGGTTTTCTATAAGGGTTTCCATAAAGGTTATATATGGGTCTTTTTCAAAATTAGGGTCCCTTTTAGGGTCCTTTTTATAAGGGTGCCGTACTATATTGGGGACCTAAAAAGGGACCCATATTTAGATAATTTCCCACATGCTACTGCTGATGATACAACCGTTGGGATTACAATCACTCAGGCTGCCGCTACAATCACTCGTTATACTCACGATTCTTCGATTCGGCATGGTTTTGGTTGTTGCCGTGGTCGTGGCGGTGGCGGCGTTGTGATTGCCGTTCGTTGTCGCTTTTTGGAGCTTTGAGTTCTGAGGCAGAGCTTCAGTAATCATGGCAAGCCCTAACCCTACATCCCAACCCCTAGACCCCAACAGACGGGACCTCGAGACCCTCTGACGCCACAAGAACCAACTAGACCATGTGCAACCCTGCCGGGGTTTTGTCCGTTTTGGGCTTGGTACAGAACAGGCATTGATCTGACTAATCCTTACACCGAGTGAAACAGATGCGACACACCAATTGAAGGCAGCGCTCAGAATTGTCGGGAATATTACCAGATGGCGCCACTGCTGCGGCTGCTGCTGCTGCTGTTGTGCTTGCTGTTTTTTGGTAATGCTTCTGATTCTGTTGATGTCCGCGGGAAGCGGCTGCAGTGTCAACATGTAGTAGCAACAGCAAGAAGGCTATTCACATTCAGTTTGAGTGACATTCATTTCATTGCGAGAACTATCATTATCAGTACCAGTGCTGTGAGACTGATAGTGGCAACAATCCTGCCCCGACCAGAGTTTGTTCAGGTTGGAAGGACCCCTATAGAATCCTGTACAAATTTTAACCGTACGACAGCCCTATATAAGACGCTTAGAAGGCTACCACAACTCCAGCATAATATAGGGGCCTGGATAATTACCTATACTATTCGGGGGTTCCTTATTATAACAAAAGCGAAAAATACCCCCAAACCCTGTTCTAACTACTAAGGCCCCTACATTATGTTTTGAGGAGCGGTCGATTCAGTACAGGAAGACCTCCAAGGACGTGGAGAAGTATCCGGCCAAGATCGAGGGTTGTGAATTGAATTGACTGGTGGAGCAGTGTTTAGGGATTTGTGTTCAAGGGGCTGTTGGGTTTCGGAGTACAGGGTGCGGGGTGTTTTGGTCTAGAGGCCCTGTGCTGTAGCGTGACGGACAGAAGGTTGCTTTGATTCTGCAGAAGGTTGCTTTGATTCTGCTCCCTGTTTTGGTGGTCGTGACAAAGGTGTCAGAGTTTGGCCAGTTTGGCCGTTCTGCAAGAAATCCATCAGATTTACAGCAGCGAAGGCCATCGTACATCTTTGTGTGATCGACCTGCCCTGAACGCTAAAGCCTAAATCCTTGACCTTGACACCCTTGATCCTTCATCCTTAAACCCTAAGCCGAAGTTCCGAGAAACAAGACGGCTCATGCCACACCTGGTCGCGTCTTTCGGACGTGTGCTTCAGGTCTGGATGACCTACTAGCCAACCCCCCTACCTAACCCGAACCGAAACACCCTAAACCTAAGCCTACCACCACTTGAGGCGCGTCAAGTGTAAGGCGCAAAGCAATGACTTTGGATTGCTTCCAACTTTCACCTTCAGCCGATGTGAAACTTCAAACTGCTCTAGTTCAACAAGCGAAGAAACAAAGATACCGGCAGTTCTGACCCCGGCGCATGTTTTTCTTTGGATCGTGACAGAGCGCAGCCGGTCGCTGTAAGAACAATGAATACGTATCTAGCAATAGAGTGGAAGTTGCAATATGGTTGCATGTTGCGAGTTACAGAAAACAGGTTCCCGTTTAGGCTTAGAGCCGGACCCACCATGTGTTTTGTGCTGGCTTTAACTGTCTGAAGTCTCATTTCAGAAATAAACGCAAATCCTGAAGCTGAAGAAAGCCAAATCGCAAAAGAAAAACAGAGTTTGATTCAACCCCCCCCCAGGTGGTTTCCACAGGTCCACCGCATGAACCGGGCGGAGCAGGTCCCGCTGCGACATTGGAGATGCCCGAGATCGCATGTTTAGGGTTTAGGGTTTAGGGTTTAGTTCCTTGAAGGGTTCCTGAAAGGTTCCTTCAAGCGTTCAACAAGGGTTTGGGGTTTGAGGTTCGCACAGCTAGCCCAGGAGCCGGTGACAGGTAGAAATGATGCAGATGTGTGTGTGTGTGTGTACAAACAGAAACTTAGATGAGCAAATAGTTAGATGCACGGATAGATATAGATTCAGAAATAGATACATAAATAATTGGACATGTAGATAAACGTGTGGAAATAAAGAAACAGACACAGATTTCGACAGAGATAAAGATAGAGATAGAGACATAGATATGGATGTGGATTTAGATATGCATTCGGGTACATATACAGATATAGCTGTAGACATAGCGATAGAACCGTCATTGCAAGATGGCCGGTTTCGGCTTGGTGTTGATTGCTGCAGGTACAACTACGATAATTTACTTTGATGCATTATAAGTATTCTGTAGTATCCTTTAAGTTATAGGATACTACAGAATACTTCTAATGCATGAAAGTAAATTGCCCTATAAGTATGTCTTCTGCAACTCAGCTCGCAGATCACACCGGCCCTGTTCCGAGCGCAGCTGTCTTTCTGAGTCCTTTCTTAAACCCAAAGCCCTAAATCCTAGATCCCGAATCCCTAGGACCCTGAACCCAACTCTACTTCTAGTCCTAAACCTGAAACCCTAAACCCTAAACCCTAAACCCTAAACCCTAAACCCTAAACCCTAAACCCTAAACCCTAAACCTGAAACTTTACATTTTGCATCTCAAAGTCGCGCATGCGGTCCAAGCCCGACGCCTCAAACCCAAAGCCATGGACCCCTAAGCTCCAGCCTACTAAAGGGGCCTTGCTAGGGTTTAGGGGTTTAGGGGT